CTACTTGGGAGGCTGAGGCAGGAGAATGGTGTGAACTTGGGAGGCGGAGCTTGCAGTGAGCCGAGATTGCGCCACTGCACTCCAGCCTGGGTGACAGAGCGAGACTCCATCTCAAAAAAAAAAAAAAAAAAAAAAATTGTACTCCTACTTGTGTAAAAATAAGTTAACTGTGAAACAGCCTCAGGCAGGTCCTTCAGGAGGTATTCCAGAAGAAGGTGCTGTTGTCATAGGAGATGACAGCTCCATGTGTTTTATCGCCCCTGAAGACCTTGCGGTGGGGCAAGTCATGGAGATGGAAGATAGTAATACTGGTGATTCTGACCCTGTGAGACTAGTGTATGTGTTTCTGTCTTAGTTTTTAACAAACAATTTTAAAAGTAAAAAATACATCAAAAATTTTAAAATAGAAAAAGTATAGAATAAAAATATAAAGAAAAAATATTTTTGCACAGCTGTACAATGTTTTAAACTAATTGTTATTACAAAAGAGTCAAAAAGCTAAAAATTTAAAAATATATAAAGTAAAAAGTTATAAGCTGAGGTTAATTTATTATTGACGGAAAAAAAGCTTTTAAATAAATGTAGTATAGTCTAAGTACACAGTGCTTATGAAGTTTATAGTAGTGTTTGGTAACATCCTAGGCCTTCAGATTCACTCATCACTGACTCACCCACTCACCCACTCACCCAGAGCAACTTCCAGTCCTGTAAGATCCATTCATGGTAAGTGCCCTATACAGGTATACCAATTTTAACCTTTTATACTGTACTTTACCTTTTTATGTTTTAGAGATGTTTAGATACACAGATATTTACCACTGGATTCCAATTGCCCACAGAATTAAGTAGGGTAATATGCTGTACAGGTGTATGGCCCAGGAGCAATGGACTGTATCATGTTGCTTAGGTGTGTAGGATGCTATACCATCCCAGTTTGTGTAAGGACACCCTGTGATGTTCACACAATGATGAAACCACCTAATGACACATTTCTCAGAACACATCCCTGATGTTAGATGACACATCACTGTATATCAGTTACCTGTTTTATATACTAAGAAAACAGTGTTTTAAAAGTTAAATATAAAAAAACAACAACCACAAACGCAGACGTGTGTTTGAAGTGTTTCAATGGTTGCTGAAGTTCATATGTCTTCTGTGTATCAGTAAATTTCATATGTATAATCAAAAGAAAACAAAATACAGGGAAAAAGCTGCATATTTTTATACATGAACAAAAAAGACTAAGTTTACTTTGTGAGTAACTCGTACTCAGATATAATAGAAAAGACAAATCCTATTAGGAAATAGTATTAGATTTTTTACATCACAAAAAGCATGAAAAAATGTGTAGTACTCAGGGTTGAGATTGTGTACAGCGGACATGAGTCTGATGTTTCTGCAAGACAACTTGTCAGTATATGTTAAAAATCCTAAAATATACATAGCCTTTGGTCTAGGAATTTCTTATAAAGACATTCTGGTTTATAATTGTGAAAGGTAGAAAACTGCACTGTTAACAACAAATGAAATTTCTTTAAAATATATGGTATATCATATTGTGAATATTTTATAGTTTCTAAAAACCGAAACTTAAAGAATATTTATGTTGGAGTAAGTATGTTCCCAGTGTACTCTTAGCAAAAAGAAAACCAAATCAGAAATGTTACAAACATATGAAGAGCAAAATTTCAATTTTATGGGTGATAAAAGGGTATGTGGTGTGTGTGTGTGTGTGTGTGTGTGTGTGTGTACTTGTAAAGTTGTTATTTCTGGGTATTGAGTTTACTGGTGATTTTAATTTTCTTATCTATAGTTGTGCTTATTTTTTCCCCCAAATTTTTACATTTTATAACCAGAAGAGAATCATAATATAGATTATATTATATGGGTAAGCTGAGCAGGGAGACAGAGATATGGATTCCACAACCACATGGGGGAAGCAGGAGCCAGGACTCAGGACCCAGAAGCCAGTAAATTTCAAGGGCAACACACAGGGTCTGACAGGTGGTAGAATCGCTGAGTTATAGATCCCTCTCCAGCTTGGCTGGTGGATGGCAGGACAGCAATCAAGGCAGTCTGGACCAAAACAGTGGCCAAACTGGTTCATGCCAAGATGCCTTGGTCTTGGCAAGGCAATGAATAAATCACATCCTGGAAACAGGGTCACAATTAAATTATAAATTTGGAGCTTGCAATCTGAAGATAGTATTGAGTGTTGTTTATAAAACGATATCTACTTTTATTAGCTTGTTAAATGAGACAGAGTAGAGATAGGACTTGGCTCCCTCCCATGCCTCACCAGTGACCTCTATTGCAAGCTGGTGAGCGGGGTGTAGCCAGGAAGAGCTCCAATCAGACCGTCCAGATTGTGCACCATAAATCTTTCTCAAGGTGCCATGCCCACTGATTGTGGGACCTTGAGGAGCCTGAAATAATCAGCTCCCATCTTAAATGTTACTCAAGGGAGTTAGCCCCATCTCCTGCATGCACATAAGACCAGAAGGATGACCAATCCTTCACCTTAGCTTCATTATAATACTAAAAACCATGCCCAGGGTAGAGATTTAATATGCTAATGACACATGTGACTCACGAAGAATTATGTTATCAAACTGTGCAGATGCCAGAAGCTCCGCAGCTCTGCATGCTTAAACCTCATGTTCTTCCTGCTTTAGCCCCTTTAAAGTTACTCTCCTGACTCTCTTTGGGGAGCCAGACTGAGAATTCTGTCTCTTGGGTTGCCTACCTTATGCCTGTGCATAAGTGCCAAGAAAGCCCTGTTTGGAAAAACTCTTGGCTTTTTGTCAATTTCTATTGTATTGAGGGCCCAAGAACCTGTGGTCAGTAACATTAAGATTTTGAGTTCTGAGGCCAAATTGTTTTAGTCTCTTAAGATGGATTTTGTGGAGTAAACTCTAAACCAGACTTTGATTCTCCTCTTTCATTCCTTCTCCAGCTTTTCCCAAAGAGATTTTCATCCCACCTCCATATCCCTTTGTTCAGTGTTGCCTCTTTCTCTACCTCAGAATCCTAATACAATGGAACATTAATACATTGGAATGGAATGGAATTGTATTAGAGTAATAATACAGTGGTCTTTTCTGATTATGAAATGTAAATGGACACACACGTGTGCACACTCACACCACTCATGCCCAGATAGCTTTATTTCTTAGTGTTGCCTCCAATGATGTGTTCATCTATTCAGCGAAGATCTATTTAATACCTTCTATGTGCCACGACTGTGCTGGAAATGAGAGAATAATAAGCAAAGGCAAACACACACCCAACTCCTAGAGTTTGTTATAGTCCAGTCTAGTGGCAGAGAGACAAACATTATTCAAATAATTGCGCTAATGAATGAAAACTCATTCTTATCCATACATTCATTCCAAAAACATTTAGGATGTACTCTGAGAGCTGGTGGCACACAAAGGGGAAAATCTCATGGACTCTGCCCTTGAGGAACATTTGAGGAGCAGAAGAGCCTGGACATGAGCATCTGCAGAGCATCCTCTATGGATTAGAACCTGGACCAGGGCCTCACAGGTGTTAGGCCATTGAATCTTAACTGCCGCGGAAGGTAGATATAATTGGCCCCGATTTAAAGATGAGAAAATCAAGGCTCAGATTTTAGGTTATATAAGCAGACAGGAAGGGTCTCCAGGGACTATAGGAATTCAATCAACTTGAGCAACCAGCCTGTTTTACAGCTTCCTACCCTGCAGCCTATTTTTCCCAAACCCTGTGTTGAATGTGGTCACCATGTTGGTTGGCACCCGTTTTTGATAGGCCTTGGCAGCTTACAGATGAACCTGGGTGAACTTTCCTCATTACCATGCTCTCCACCCTGGGAGAAGCTATAATTTTATTGCCATAATATGTGACCCATGTGCTGGGATAGTGATTCAGTGTATCTGTGCAATGGGACTCCTCCTCTACATGTAATGATGCACCCTCTCTCCTCTCCGTCACCCCGTAAAATGCTTCTGTCACTTTCCCTCAGGGAGACATTGCTTCAGAGAATACTCCGTTTTCCTTGTGCCAACTAAATAAAACTCCTGTTGATCAAAATCTGAATTCTCATGGAGGTTATTTGTTAATTGCCAGGTGAATGACCTTGTTTTTTGGCGGGGGCTATAGCCGGGATTTGAGTTCAGTTCTGTCCAACTCAAAGGCATGTGCACATCCAAACTGCAACGCACTTCTCTCCTTATGAAGAAATAAAAACATAAGCAGCTATAATATAGAATAGAATGTAAAGACATTAAGTAGCTATAATGGAGATTAGTCACTGTGTGCTGAGAATAATTTGGCTGCCATGTGATGGTAACATGGTAGTTGTCAGAGATGCAGCAAGTCATTGAGGGTTGCTGCAGAGAGATTTATTAATAAAGCCTCTAAACAAAGAGATGGAAGGAAACCTCAAATCCACCTCCCCGAAAACTTTGGAGCTAGAAGTTTTAAGGATGTGGGGGTGCATGAAGGTGTGGAGATCACTGGTTGGGTGAAGAGTGCAGGGTGAAGTCGGGATGGGGATGTGGAGAACCTGCATTCTCACATGCTGATTTGGTTACTCTTTGGGAGTCTTCAAACTGGTTGGTGTCATTCTTTCCACTGGAATTTACATCTGAAGAATATCCCAAGCAATTCTTAAGCAAAAACCTTAGGATTCTAATGTCAGTGATCCTATCTATAGGAACAATGGGTATGCAAATGGTCAGCGGCTAGTGCTAAGTGACAAAATTTTGATTACATGGAAGTAAGCCAAAGTGCAGCCTGATTAATATTTAATTGTAACTGTATTTCTGCCCAGAGCCCTGCATGTGATTCTTGTTAACCTTGTAAGGATGGTTTCAGTTATAGGAACCCAAAAGTGGGAGGGTAGAAAGCACAGTGCTCCCAGAAATTTCTCCCACTCCAAGCTGGGCTATAGATGTGGGAGAGGCCCCAATGTGCTCTGTCAATCTTTCTGATTCTTCTCTGTCCACACTCACCTGCAACATTTCCAGGCACAATAAACTACATGAACAATATGCACTTTCCATTGATTTTATCCAGGCTTCAATAAGCTGAAATAAATCGAACTGTTAATGAGAAATGCAAAGCACAAATAGCACTTTATTGAAGAATAACAAGGAGGCAAATTTTACCATATGTTAGCAAGCTTAAAGGGAAGAGGCTGACTGTGGTTAATATGTACATTCCCCTCAAAGAGTTCCATAAAACTTCTTTGATTTGCAGAATTAAACTGTAGTTTGCATGTAAACAAGACCTTAATATTTCTTGGAAGATCCCCACATTTTAAAATAACAATCTTAAAAACAGAAACCAAACATGAGTGTCTACAAGTGCTGTGAATTGTAATGTACGTATCTTTAAACATTAAAAACCACCTAGCTTTGTTAGAGCAAAATGCATCATTAACATTGCTATTGAATATGCAAGACTGTGTCAAATCACAGATACTGTGTAGGAGGTGGTGTGAACCTGCTGCTTTTAGCACTTGGTCTACATTTATGTGCCAAAAATTAGTTACATGGAAATGTCTTTGTAGAAGTGGCAATGAGAATTGTTCCTGGGAAGATATGTTGAGCTATATGGAACTCAGAAAAAAAAATTGACTTTAAAAATGTTTTTCATGGTTATAATTTACATACAATAAAATACAAAGTCAGGCCTGTTTAGTTTGCACGTGACCAAACCTGCCAAAGCTTTAAGATAAAGTAGCTTAAGCACCCAAATTGTGTTGCCTTGTGACACCGAAAGTTCTAGGGCTTTAGAGATAGGTGGATACAGGGGCTCAGGCACTGTTGTCAGAATAGTGTCTTTCTGTTTCTCAGCTCTGTGTTTTTTGTTGGTCTCAGCCGTCCTGTTTCTAGTGCCCCCACACAATGCTATGTTTATATTTTCTTCAGTTTAAGTCCAGACCATACCTCCTTTTTCTAACAGTTTCCAGTAACGTCAGAGGATTGCATATCTTTGGCTTGGATTGGGTCACATGCCTTTCTAAGAACTGATTGTTGCATCCGGGCATTTGGAATACCCTGAATTGCTTCAGAAATGGATTTTGTATCCATGCATGGAGCTGGCAATAGAGTTATTCCATCCACACTATATTTTGGGGAAAAGGATAACTAGGGGGTTACCACCAGAAAAAGGGGAAATTCAACTGGGACAAGAAAATCAAATGTCCCCAAAAACTTGGAAGAAGGCTTTGATCTCTTCCTGTGTAAAATGATAACATGATGATGACTATATTAACAACATGATTACAGTTTATGCACCAACTGTATTCCAGGTCCTCTACTAACATGCCTTGTCACAACACCATAAGTTAGGGGTGGTTATGCCCATCGTACTAATGGTGAACTGGATGTTTGAAATGTAAATGAATTGCCAAAAATGCATAGCTAGCAAGAGAGGAAACCAGGATTTAAATTCAGGTCTATCTTAGGATCCTAGCTCTTTCCATTCTGTTTGTCCCTAAGGAAGCATTTCTTATTTCTGACTTGATGCTATGTTTATATTTTGTTGAGTTTAAGTCCAGACCATACCTCCTTTTTCTAACAGTTTCTAGTAATATCCGAGGATTGCATATCTTTGGCTTGGATTGGGTCATATGCCAGAATGTGAATGTATGTATATTTCTGTTAAAAATTGGGTGCATGCCTGTAGTCCCAGCTACTTGGGAGGCTGCGGCAGGAGAATTGCTTGAACCTGGGAGGCGAAGGTTGCACTGAGTTGAGATCACACCACTGCACTCCAGCCTGGGTAACAGAATGAGACTATGTCTCAAAAAAAACAAAACAAAACAAAACAAAACAAAAAAACAAAAAGAACTGGAGGTGGATGGATAAGAAGGCAAATTATAAAGGGGAAAGAGGATGCTTCCAGAGTGGTCTACCCCAACTGAGTCAGTATGTCCCATCAGCAGCATGTTTTGCATCTCAGAAACAGCCCTGGCTCATTTGCGGCTGGGAGACCCCATTTGGGGGACTCTATGAGGTTGGCAGGCATCGCATATTTCTGTAGCTTTGTTTTTCTTGTAAAGTTCCCAACAGCTGCGGGACTTATTAAGCCTGAATCATGTTGCATATTCATCAGATGACTTGTTAATCATCTGCCAAGCCCCTCCGGAGAGCAGGAGTCCGGGAGCTCAAATGAAGAATAACAGACAGCGTGTCCTCACCCGCTCTCCTGAAATGCGTTATTGGCAATTACATAAAAGTTTCCAGGAAAGTAGGTTTAAAGCAGAGGGAGAGCTTGCTGCTCGTGGGCATAGTATGCCTTCCTTTTGATTGTCTATTTGTTTTCTTCCTTATTGCCACTACATAGGCAAAATAGGAATAATCTCCAGTTTACAGAAGGAAAAACTGAGGCCAAGAGTGTGGATAATACCAATCTTCTAGGTAGGAAACATTAGAAAGGCCTCTTGACCTTTCATTCAGCATCCCTAGTGGTAGGGTTGTTTCATCTGGGCTTTGGTGCCAAGAAGCTGCTCAGTAAAAGCACATGTGGTTCTCTAGGGTGCATGTCCTTTGTCTCTTTAGTTCACAAGAAACCCCAAGTTCCTAGAACAGTGCCTAGGCTGTAGAAAAGATTTTTTAAAATGTGTTGCATGAATGAATCCAAGTTCTCCAGACACCAGATGGATATATTATCTACGTGTAATACATGGTGAACAGAGTCTAGTCCCAGTTCATCATGACATCCAGGAGTGGCACCCTCCTCAGGCCCTCCCAAGGGTCCCCAGTGAATGCTGCTGGTTCCCACAACCTCAGTCTAATTGCATCCTCTCTCGTTCAAGGTGCTGCTTTAAGCGTCTCACAATGACAACGTCCACTGTGCTCTCCTTTCAGCCCCTGCCTTAATTCTCCCAAAGCACAGGTACTGCCAGGTTGAGGTGTTTCATAGCTTTTCCTTTTCTATGCAGTGAGTGGGATGACAAGAGCCTTGTACACAGTAATTACTGGGAGTACATGAATAGTGCCTGTGAAATATCAGGCTACCACAGAGAAAGTACATAGGAAGAGTTGCTATTGTCATTATCGAGAGGTACTGGTTAAGAGCAGAGACTCTGGAGCCAGACTGTTGCGCTCAAATCCTGGCTCTGCTACTTAATAACCGTGATATTGGGCAAGTTATTATACTTAACCTCCTTTCACCTCAGATCCTCATCTATAAGATGGGGGTAACAATAGAATTTGCTTTATACAGCTGCTAAGAGGTTTAAATGAATCAGTAGCTGTAAAGAAGTTAGAGAATTTCTTGACACATATAAGGGCCATAAAAGTGGCAGCTACAGTGACAGCCAGGCAAACTCGTCACCAGATTTGAAATGTTGCCGTTCCTGGAGTCCAGTGCTCCTGGGGTCCCTATTTTTCTATTTTCCTTTTAGTTCTGACTCTGCCACCATTGGGAATTCATCACTCCTAAAAAGTGTTAGACCCAAGATGTGCTTTGCCCACAGTAAAAATGGCCTGTTACACTGTTGACTGAAATTCTTTAAATCGTTGAAGCATCCTCATTTGGATTACTTCCTGGGGGGAAAAAAATGGATAGACACACAAATAAAACCACCAAACTGGCTCCTCTGTGAGGGACGGAGGAGAGGCTCTGCCCCAAGAAGAAAGAAATTCCATCTTTCATCCAAAAGTGCAGAAACTGCTTGTGACACCCAGAATATTTGTTCCAGGTTCAATAATTTTAAGATCTAGGCTCTATTTTCAGTTACAGGCAATTGCTGGTAACTGTAAAACAGAAATTTGTCCTATTAGGGACATTTTATAGCAGTGGTTCTTAAAGTGTTCTTTCTGGACCAGTAACATCAGCAGCACCTGGGAATTTGTTAGAAAAGAGAATTCTCAGGCACACTTAGCAGTCATTCATAGTGCATTCAGTTAAAGTCTCAACAACATACACATTACCTTCAGTAGAATTTACTTACTATTAAGCTTCCAGAAATCAGAAACCCTCTTAGGACATGTGGCTGTTCTCACTCCGGGTCTGTAATGTGTGTGGGGAGCGGGGTTCCAGGCAGGAAACCATAACCGGGTCTGTAACGTGCGTGGGGAGTGGGGTTCCAGGCAGGAAACCGTAACCGGGTCTGTAACGTGTGTGGGGAGCGGGGTTCCAGGCAGGAAACCGTAACCGGGTCTGTAACGTGTGTGGGGAGTGGGGTTCCAGGCAGGAAACCGTAACCGGGTCTGTAACGTGCGTGGGGAGCGGGGTTCCAGGCCGGAAACTATAACAGGCATCTGGTTTTTACTTCAGGGCCACAAATTGAATGTCACCCACTTGTTCCCCTTAAATAAAACATCTCAGTGGCCTAAGGACTAATCAGCCTATAAGCACACATAACTGTGGTATCATGCATTTGGTATTTATTTATTTATTTATTTCTTAATTTGGAGGGAACGCTGTGATTCAGCATGGCTGTCAGGGTCTTGATGTGGCTATGTAAATGGTAGCTAAGCCTGAATGTTCTTTTTCCACCTCAAAACCATAAGGGATTAATTAATCCACACTTCATGGAAATAATAAAAACAAGATGTTTGTGGACACGTACTCACAATCCTCTCACTATGTATAATTAGTTCTGCAATCCCCAATTCTCCCCACCTCAAGCTATCCTAATATTTGCATGTATATAAGGTTTTTATTTTTGCCAAACCCCTCGAACAAAAAAATATTAACTATTCCTAAGGTGTTCTCTCTCTTCCTCTTTGTCTGTATGTATTATCAACTCTAATTATGAATTCATCCAGAACTAAGCTTTAGCTCAATCCTTAAATTTTTTTAAGCCAAAAAAATCATCAAAAATTAGGCTTTATGGGATGGACTAAAGTTTTCTTTTCTCTTTTTTTTTCTTTTGCTTCTTTTTTACTTTTGCTTTTTTACTAAAGAGGCCTCCATTACTGTCATAGCACTTAAACTCAGCAATTGTTAGGCTTACTGAATCAGGAACTCCAAGTGTATATGAATCAGGGCCCAGCAGTCGGTATTTTAGCAAGCTCTTGAGATGGCCTAAATACTTACTCAAGTTTGAGAGCAACTGTTTTACAGTTGTCTTGATGCAGAAAAGCCCAGATAGCACTCAGTTCACACTTCCAGCCTGCTGTCCTGAATGCTAAGAGGTTTCTAAGGTTTCATGACTCCGTCACCCTCCTCCCACCCTGATGTGTCCTCCTCCCTCTCTACTGGGCCTTACATCTGTCTTGTAGGGCTCAGTTCTGAGTTAGCTCTTCCTAGAGTTCTTTCTTCTTGTGGGAAGCATAATAGACTAGTAGTTAAGGGAACAGCCTTCTTAGACAGTCCGGGGTGGAAGTCTTGGCTCTACGACTTAAATCCTAGGCCAATTGTTTTCCTCTCTATACATCAATTCTCTCTCTGTAAAATGGGCGTAATAGTAGCTAGTCATTGACTCTGAGGGTTTAATGAGTTACAGAAAAGCACATTTGTGTACAAATTGGAAGTAATATGGCAGCTGTGTATAAAATGAATTACCTACAGTGATCTCTCTAGTTTTTTACTCTAACTTGCCACAAAATAACCAATAAATCAGTCATTCTCACACTTTGCTGCACATTAAAATCCCCTGGGTAGATGTTGAGACTCTGATGTTGATGCTGGATTCTAATGGACAATTAAATCCAGATCTCCAGTGATATGGTTTGGATTTATGTCCCTGCCCAAATATCATGTTGAATTGTAATCCCCAGTGTTGGGGAAGGGGGATGATGGGAGGTGACTGGACCATCCCCCTTGCTGTTCTCTTGATAGTGAGTTCTCGCAAGATCTGGTTGTTTAAAAAGTGTGTAGCACCTCCTGCTTCACCCTCTTCCTCCTTCTCTGGCCATGTAAGATGTTCCTGCCTCCCCTTCACCTTTTGCCATGATTTTAAGTTTCCTGAGGCCTCCCCAGCTATGCTTTCTTTACAGCCTGTGGAATCGTGAGCCAATTAAACCTCTCTTTTTTTTTTTTTTTAAATACCCAGTTTCAGGTAGGTCTTTATAGCAATGCGAGAATGGACTAATACACCCGGGGTGCACTTAATGTTCTTAAAACCAAGTACTGCCAAGTTGGGGACCATTGCTCTAGTCGCTTTCTAATCTCTCTGCATATGTGGTGAACTATGAAGTTTGGCAGTGAAACATCAGATAATGCTGTGGTATCAAAGAGCATCTTGTTTGTAAATGGTTTTGTGCACATGTGTCCTGCCCTGCCGGCCCAGCCGGAATGTAAGTGCCAAGAGAGCTGATCGCAGTTCAGGCCTTGTTGTTTTCCCCTTCCCCAAGCCCAGAAAGGTACGTGGCTTGCATTCAGCAGCTGCTTGTTCATGATTAATTAATTGAAAGAGAAAATAGGCTTCAGCTGGCAGAAGGGGAGTCTAACAAACCATTTCAAAGAGGTTTGAAGCTAAAAACAAAAGCTCCTATGCCAGACCGTGCTGTTTTGCAGCCATGATAAAACATTCATTGTGTAACATTTGACAAGTTTCTTGACCTCTCTGTGCCTCAGTTTTCTCATCTGTAAAAGGGAACTAAATAATAAGACCTACCTCTTTGAGTTGCTGTGAGGATTAAATGCAATAACACATGCAAAGTACTTAAAACAGTAGTTAGTACATCAGTACAGGTTTAAACATTACCTGCTACTCTTACTGTTATCCTGTTCTAACCAGCCTTAGTCTAGCTACAGGCCTGTATAACAAGCTTGTGTGATCATCCGATCTTTCCTTACTTTTCCATTTCCTTGGCTGAGATCTATGACAGCAGAGTTGTTTTATCTCAAATTCGGCGATGCTTCAGCATATTTTTATTTATTTTTTGTTTTCTGGTGCTTAATAGAGTGCCTGACACACACTGGGACTCAATAAATGTTTGAAGGAAGTAATAAATAAATGAATGAGCTGCACTCAAATGAACTATGCTTTCACTCTTAGATACTACCCTGCAAGAGTCAGAGAAGGGAAAATGTCTATTTCATAGATAATACAAATACAAGATTCCCAGATGAGGAGAAAAACAGCCCCAGCCCTTTGTTGTTTAAATTATCACAGTATGCCTTATATAATTCCTGGCTCCAGCTTCACAGAAGCCTGACTTTGTGTTTCAGATCAATTTTTTTTCTGGCTGTTTATTTGTGTAAAGCCTCCCCATTTCAGTCTTTGCTGGGCCCCGTGTCATCCTCACTAATTCATTCAGTTATCAAAGCGACAATGCCTAATTATAAGCTACAGTGAATCAAGTCTAGAGAAGGACTCTGTGGACAGCCTCCCACTGCCTGATCAGTCTTAAGTCAGCATGGGGCTCAGACGCTCTCTGCTCCTTGGATGCACCAGCTCAGCTGCCCAGCCTGTGGCCACGTCCGTAATGCACTTGTCTTAAAGACTCTTCAGATTCTGCTGAGACTAATGTATTTGTTCACCCTGAAAGGGAATATAAATCGTCTTGGGGTACATTTAATCAGGGGCTTGAGAAATCCACCTTGCATAGTCTGGAAACTGAGTAAATGGTTGGTGGCAGTAAAACTGAATGCTAGGAAATAGTGGGTCATAGTGGTCTTACGAGAAGAGGGTTTGAAGCCAGCTATGCTTGGATTTGAATCCCAACTCCTGTCTTCACACAGCTGTGTGACCTGGGGCAAAGCAACACGAAGTGTGGTTCACAAACCCCTGCTAGTCCACAAGCTATGCCTTACCCATTAAGGAATCAAGGAGGAGAAAAGGAGCTTGCGCCAGAATGTAAACCAGCTACATTACCAAGCATCCTATTAGTTCAGCTGATTGTTTTTTCCACAACAAGACTTTCTCAATGCAGGAAATGGTATACTGATTTACATTCTAATAAAAATGTCTTACTCCCTGACTGATAGCAGAGTTCACGGAAGAGTACTTTGAGTAGCACTAACCTAGGGCAAGTAACTTAACTGTTCTGAGGCTTAGTTTCCTCATCTGTAAAATAGGAATGAGATATGGCATGCTAAGTGCTTAGTATGCGGAGGACATAGCAAGTAATAAAGGAGAGCTAATATTAGTCTAGATAAGATCATCCTAATAGATCCATAAGATGTTAATATGCCTACAAAAGCAACATACATCCAAGAAACAAAAAGTTTTATAGACACACAGTTTATTAAGCTGACTGTGCTCTAGGAGAACAAAGAAATGTATCCTACATGCATGCTTATGCCATGTTTCTGAATCTTTGAGATGAGAGATAATTTGTTTTTAAATTTCCAAAGCCATCGAACACTGTGCTCAATAAATATTTGGAGAGCCTGAAGGCAGATTTCACCTTGGAACTAGCTTTCCTGGCACTGGTAGACCCAAGACTGTTCTGGTACCTTTATTTCTCCTATTTCTGTGCTCCAGCGTGCCTTTCTTAAGTTTGAGTGATTGTTTCTTCTGGATTCACCAACTTTAGCTGGCTTCAGGTATCTTCCTCCTAAACCTCCTTTACCTTTTTCCTTGAGCCATTTTTAACAATCTGGCAACAAGAACTCTTTAGCCACAAGTTCTCTGAACACCCAAGAGGGCTTTCAGCACTGTGACTCCAGCAAATGATTTTTTTAAGGGCCAACTGGAGTAAGGAGAAAGTTCTTTCCAGGTAGTCACAAGTCCGTGGGGGTAGAGAGACACAGGGTAAAGTGTCCCCAGGAAAGCTCAGAAGGAACTTGGAAGATATGTGGATGTAGAACTGTGTTCTAAACTAGTAATCTTTAAGCATTTTCATTCTGCAACATTCCATCGTGTTTTTCCAATACAAAATTTTAGTATTTTTCTTTGAGTTAAATGATACTGCATTTGCTTTAGATTAAATCAATGATGATCAGGACTCTTGATTCAAGGTGACAGAACCTAAATCAAAGTAGTTTAAGCCAAAAAGAGAAGGTATTTGGTAGCCACGGCTGGGAGGGATAGAGAAGATGCTAGCTTAAGGTGTGACTGAAGGTGAGGACCCAAACAATGCCTTCAGGGGTTCCTGCCATTCAGCTTTTCTTTTCCTTATGCATCTCTTTGTTTGTTGATTTTATTTTCTCTTCCTGCAAATCTATTTTATTCTAGTAGTTGTAACCTAGCTTCCAGCAGCTAGGTCAGATGCATATTTATCTGGAATAAATATATAGCTGCCCTGGGGATCACATCCTTATAGTCTGCAATCCAGAGGACGGATAGCTTCTGTCTTTGAGCATCCAGTTTTAAAATCCCAGGGTGACCTGCCCATTCTGGATCAGGGTGATGAGTGTTTTAGTCTAAGCAGGCAGCTATAATAAAGTACCTTAGCCTAGGTAACTTATAAACAACAGGTATGTATTGCTCCTAGTCTTGGAGGCTGGGAAGTCCAAGATCAGGGCACCAGCAGATTTGGTGTTCTGTGAGGGTCCATTCCTCATAGGTGGCTCCTCACTGCATTCTTGTGTGATGGAAAGGGCAAATACACTCCCCTGAGCCTCTTTTATAGGCACGATTTCCATTCATGAGGGCTCTGCCTTCATGATCTAATCACCTCCTAAAGGCTCACCTCTTAATACTGTTACATTGGGGATTGAGTTTCAAGGTATGAATTTTGAGGGGCCACAAACATTCAGATTGTAGCAGTGATCTTTAATGATCAACCAGGATTGAATCATGTACTCTCACCCATCTTCCCTCTTCCCCTTATAGCCAGGATACTGGGGAATTGTGATTAAAGCCCCACTGGAACTACTAGGAGTTGGGAACATGCAGCAACTCAAAGGAGAGAAGAGACTGTTAGATATGAATGAGGGAGGAAGTGTTGGGCCTGTTAATGGAACAAATGTGCATTTCAGAATATTGCTGGGAGAGGGCAAAGCTTAACAGATGGACTAATAATGGAACTTCAAACACAAATGAGGAAGCAAGTTCAGGGGGACAGGTCTTATTAAAGTCACTCAAATTACTCAATATGGGTAACACCTTGTCTAAGAAATTGATGAGCCTTGCTTATTAAAACTACGAACTCACCTCATTCTAAAAGAAAAGCCGTTATTTCCCACATTTTCAACAGAAGCATGCATTTTCTCATCCCTAACTTGGCACTGTGGATGAATTCATCTCTCATCTCTCTCTGGTATCGTTCTTAAAACGTCACCACATAATAAATGTTTAATAAATATTAGTTATTTCTGTCATTTTGACTTAGGTTATTACAGTATAATCTCATTAAATGTTTATTATAACCTTATATTATAATGGCCTCTATTTTCACATGAGGAAACTGAAGCTCAGAGACTTTGTGAGTTGCTGAAGACCACACTACAATAACTAATGGGGCTGTTACTATCCAAGTTTGTCTGACTCCAAAGCCCAAGCTCTTGCCTTTACATAACTAATTCAATTTCTGATAGCTGGGAGATGAGAAAAGTATCTTTCCTGACGCAACTCCAGTTCCAGCTCCATAGCAGTAATTCACACCACCCTGGCCTTTAGGCACTCTCTTATAATTATGAAGCATTCATTATACAAGAGCCCCTTATTTAATTTTTAAGACTGTTGAGCAGAGGATGCTGTCTTGACGTCCCAGTCCAATAACATACAACAAAATATTTCCACAGACATTTTTTGCATGAATACAGATGCTGTATCTTGTTTAATTTGAAAGGCAGACACAAGATTGGGCTAGTTTTCAGCAGTTCCATTTGGCCCTTTATCGGTAGCTTTTTGTTAAGAAGAATATCCTCCCGGGTTGTGGATAATTTCAGCATTACTAAAGCTCCAGGTTATCTCATTTTTGTAGTTGCTGGTTGCCTGTGCTTGTTCATTTCCTACCACCTGCCACGATGTTCATTTTCATTTTGTATGTGTCAACAGCTTGAGAGCCTTGAAAGATGTACCAAGATTTTTAAAGAAAAAAACATATATCAAATTCCCTTTGGTTAAGGCAGTGACAGTGATTTTTTTTTCTCCCTCTACTTACTTGAATCTTAAATCCTCACTGATTTGCATCTAGGTTTGGAAATGGATTAATACTTGGAAGAGAAGGCAGATTGTTTGCTTAAAACCCTTTGGGTCAGAGAGTTCAAAGGGAGGCAGGAGTCTCTGTCCTATGCCTCTTCTTTGGACCTTTCTGGTTCTCTTTCTCCTCCCTGACTCCTCTTCTGGTCTTCGTCCCTGGCTCTCCACTGGTCTCTGTCACCTCTCAGATTGCTCTCTGTTCCATTGGGATGTTTCAGCTGTAGGGGACAGATCAAAATGTAAGGATATTTGTCTCACAAATCTGACTTGGGGACAAGAAATCCCCACATGGGTCAGTTCCAAGCTAGTTAATCCAGCAACTCAGGCGATTCACTCTCCTGTCTTGCTCTCCTGGATTGGTTCTTATGCTTATCCTCTTTTTATTGCTTTCATCAATAACTTTCATCTTTTCATTTTGCTTTTCTGTTTTCATGTTGCATCAGGAAGTCCCAGTTGTCATGGGACTACTGGAGTTCCAGGTGTCATGGAGTCCCTGGAATCATGAACCACTGGAGTTCCAGGTATCATGACCAGCTATCACATCATACAAGCCGGCTAACAGAGACAGACACTGCTGTGCCTCTCTCCTCTTTCCAACCATGAGGGACACTGTCCCAGAAGCCCTACCCCGTACTTCTCAGTGGGCAGAGCTACATCCCTGGCCCATGTCTAAACCTTGCAGGGGATATGGAATAACCTTCACAACTTTAGACTAAACAGAACTTACGTCCTATGGCTGGAAAGAAGACCCACCCTGAATACCTAACCATGTAGAGTGTAAAAAGAAAGAAAAATCCAAGTTCTATCACTGAAAGAAGATAGTGGGGATAGACTGGTAATGTCTGCCTCAGTATCTCTTAGGCAGACTCCTAGTTGTGGCTGATGGCCTTTGCTATGACTAATAGGGCAGCAAATCCCAATTATTTATCTTTAACCCAGATTTCTTTAGAGATTCAAGTAAGACACTCCATCTATTTGCTTGGCTATTCCACTTGGATATATGGATCTTCCTTTTAGATAAATGATATTCCTCCAGTTATATAGCACTTAGACATCCCAGAAGCTCTTTTCTGGAAATATCACATGCCTTTTTTATCAAGCTCCTTTCTTTCTAGGACTGTCTCCAGACTTCAGGAACCCTCACAAGAGGTTAATTGAATGAATAAGTGTCACAGCAATGAATCTCATTCTCTGGTGCATGTCGTGGGCATTTTTAGAGGTCATTATTTTTGTGTTATGCCATATGTGAGCAGAACTTCTCATTGAAAGAGCTGGGAAATACATGATTTCTTGCTTTGCATGTTATTGTGTGGCAGTAAAAATGACCATGCAAGCTGAAACCACAAAAAATGATCTTAAAAATCAATAGGAAAATGTATGATCTGTGACCTTTAAAGATTTTTATCAAAACATTAAACACTATCTTACTATCTCATAATTATGAAGCATTCATTATACACTTTTATAATATGTGACTTACTTTATAAAAGTGACCTACTGTCACTTTTAAATGTTTAGGGAAATGCAAAAAAAGTGACATTAATATTTAGTTACTACAGTGTTATTCAAAATATTAGAAACATTGATAATGTAAAAGTTTATTTCTTATAAAAAGTTATGAAGAATAATTTGAACAGTTCTTGCCTTCTTGTCATTGTATAAGTTACAGTTTATGTGAACATATTTTCTGTGCCCTGGTAAATTTGCTGTACTGCTTGCTAAGTTTGGATTACCTTCCAGCATTTTATTCTTTATAGTTATAATGTCACAAAGCAGCTCCAAGAGTTCTTTTAATGTGAAGTTTTTTGAGGATGCTAATTTCTCTAGGAAAATTTTTCTCCTTTTCGCCACAAGCACTTTCCTCATTTATGTCTAAAGTTTACCTTCACTAAGTTCCGCTGGCTGGGTGTCTAGAGTCCCTTGAATATCGCAATCAGCTAAAATGCTTCATTTGCATTGGATTTCAATTTCACTTCCAGCATTTTCATTTTTCACTTCTTTGTGGCACTCTCCTTTTTTTGGCCAACTCCTTCTTTTGATTATTCATTTTTATAACATGTCCTGTGGGTTTTATCACCAGGAGACAAGGAGGTAACACAACTACAAGCTTTGCTGGCTGTATGTGAAATAAATAAGAGATGGGCAGAGAGCAATCCCCCAACAGGCTTTGAAAGACATAACTCAGTTGGTCTCAGAACATGGGGTGAATCTCTTATTTACATAGTGATTTGTGGACCGAAGCCCTGGCAGTGAGGTTTGTACTGTATTCAAATACTGACAGTTAATATACTGTGGTAACTGAAATTGAACTGTGTTGTTGGAGGACTGTTGCTTTTGAAGTAAACAGTGGTAAATGAAATCCGTATGTATCAGAATTGTGTACAGTGAAGGCTACCCGCATTGTAATTCAGGACATATCCACTCAGCTCTAGACATTGGAGATACCCCAGGCCAGCCCCTCACTTCCAACTGGCTATGAAGTAGGCAAAGCACAGAGGTTCACCAAGGACTCATCCCTGGATGTTTGCCTGTCCCTGGCTTTAAGAGAGAATGCACCTTTAGCCTTGAGTCTACAGCAGGTAAGGACTGAAAACAGCTGCTCATTAGGGAGGTGATATACAACACAATGCTGTGAGAGGCAGCCCCGCTATAGGCCAGTGATGGCCCGTGTGTCAGCCAAAGGCAATAAACTAATACATAGACTGCATGTTTTTTTCTCTCTCCTTTATTTCTAGTCCTTTCATAAAAATGAAAATTCCTTCATTTCTAGTGTTTTAGCCTTCAGGATCTGATATAATTCAGTTTAATAAATGGAGTGCTGGGAGAAGGCTTGGCAGCTCTGGTGCCATGTTGCTAGATGGCCTCCTACAGAATTCCAGCCTCGGTTTGCTTGCACTGTTTCCCTCCTTTGGCTTTCAGCCCTCTCTCTGCCTCAGGTATGTTGCAGTCCCCTTGAATATCCTCAAGCGTGAACTCTTTCTTGACTTCCAAGGGATTTGAAATAATAAGAAAAGTTCTGGACTTGATTTGGAGCTCATTAAGATACACTTAAAAAAAAAATAGAGCATGTGCATCTTCTGTATTTACTGTGTCTCCTTAATTATATGTTTCCTTTTATCAAATAATACTATTAGTTTATGAAAAGAGCATAGATTTTGGAATCAGATAGGGCTGAGTTGGATCCAGCCTTGGCCACTAATTATACTTTGGACAGTTCATGTCATTTCATTGAACCTCTACTTTTCTCATTATAAAATGGTACATTGGTTATGTTTAAATAGTTATACATGTAAAGTGTTTAGCCTTGGACCTGGCCTAGTCTATGAATTCAGTATGGGGTGGCTACTGTCATTAACTACCTCACAAGCTGATACGTGGATCAAATAAGCTGATGTATATAAAACATTTCATATAGTAACTGGGACATCAGAGGTGCTCAAAATGTTATTACCTTTACCTTCTTTTTACTTTAGCTTTCAGTAAGCATGCAACCAAACCTATTGCTTAGTTGTAATGATTGATCAATTTCAAGTTTTTGGTATAGCTAGTTCTCTGCTCTATTTAACTACCTTTTGTGTGTGTGTGTGGTTTTGTTATTTTGGATATGCTTCAAGATTAGAAAGCCACTCAAATCATTTGTAAATGCATACAGGAATACAAAAAAAGTGGATAAATACTATTTCCACTTCAGTTCCAGTAATATGCAAAATTATCTGCCATCCTTTGCCCTGGCCTGGTAACCTGTTGTGATACGCAGCACCATTCTTCAGCTTGTGGGAAGCTTCATGTTGGAAAGAGTTCAATTTGCCCTGCAGGTATTTTGTGGCTACCATATAGTTGGCACAGTATCACAAGTTTTTGACCATGATGTTTTATTTTCCAACATGCTACAGACAGCCTAGAACAAGTACTGGTATAATTCAAAGTAGCAGAAAGAATGCTTTGTATTCGCCAAATCCCATTTCATGTATTCTTCCTGGGCACACAAGAAGGCTACCTTTCCTTTGTGGTTAGATTGAAGTTATGACTGAGTTCAGGACAATCACAGGTGAGTAGAAATGATGTGTTCTTCTTCCAGGCCTGGCCATAAAACCTTCCAGAAAATGGATGACACTCTGTTCTCATATCCCAGTGACTTCTAAGGCCATATTTTTTAAATGTCAGGAGAATAATATGAAGAGGTCTGGATCTGAGTTACCACTTGGAGAAAAGCCACTACAGAGATCTGTATCAGATTATGGTATGGTATAAGTAAGAAATCAATCTCTGTTTGGGCAAGTTTCTATGATATTAGGGCTTATTTGTTACTATAGCATAGAGTATTCTTGCTGACTAAAACACTTCCCCTTCTAACTCATGGGACGTTCATGATGATAAAAATGATACTGTGCTCATGTTAGTACTATGTAAATTGTGTATCAAAGCAGTGTGTGGATGTTATCATGTTGTTATTTGTGGAAAGCTCATGGGTTTGGAAGTCAAGAGACCAAGCTCTTGCACGAATGTCAAATGCTTACCTTACTTTTCTCTGCAGCTCTGTCATCTGTAAAATAACAGTCCTAATCCTTGTCATGACTACTTCTCACGGTTGTTACAAGATGCAAATGAAATCATGGATGCGTAAGAACTTGGTAAACTATAAAGTTCTGTGAAGTAGAAAGCACTGTAATTATTTCTCTGGAGTTCCAAACCTCTGCCAGGAATACCCTTTCCACATAGAAGAGGGATGCCTCACTGCAGCCCCAAAGTGTTACTGTTTTCTGGAAATGTCAGCACAGACTTTTGTTCAGCAAAGCATGAGCTCAAACGGCCTGAATGCAACCCAGAACACTTGGCAGGCATTTTCTGCCTGGAACAGTTGCTCAAAGCTGAAAATAAAGGTGCCTATGATTCTAAACATGGAATGTCTGGAGAGGAGAGAAAAAGAAACTTGCACAGTTTCAATCTCTCCTGAAGATGCGGGTGCAAGGTAGGGAGTGGGGCGTGTGGTCCGTATCTGGTACAGGAGAGGGAGAGAGGTCAGACTTCACCCTGGGAAGGATAGCTCACAGACCTCAGAAAGGCCAGGGCACAGTTGTAGGCAACATACTCAGCTGCCTACAGTGTGTGTTTTTAGGAACAGGAAGGACCCCAGTTTCTGATTTACTCCATAGCTGAACTCCAAAACTCCCTGGGTAAATCTTTCTTTTAAACCAAGCAGTCCTTTCTTTCCTGTCTAAAACCAACCAACAAAAAATTTCATGGGAGCCTTTGTGCCAAAAGTTAATGTTGTCCTAAGGAGACCTGGAGGAAATGAAGAAACTGAAATGCATTTTTTTTTTTTGGCACAGTGGGGACATGGGAAGTGATTTGCATATGAGAACTGAGAGGACAAAGTCAACCAACAGGCCCTTGAACCCAACTTCCTACATGGGGGCTCTGCTGCAAGGGAAGCCAGGTTCTTCAAACCACAATACCATATTTAGAGATCTTGCCATGTGCCAGGCACTCTTCTAAGTGCATCACAAGCATTAGCTTATTTATCAGTCATCAGAAACCCTGTGAAGTAGGTACTGTTATCATCCACATTTACAAATGGGGAAACTGAGGCCCAGAGAAGTTAAGGTGTAAGACAAGTGCCAAAGCCAGGATTCAAACCCAGGGCGCAGACTCTATAGTCCATGTCTATACACTAAACTCCATTTTGCCTTGTCCAGAAAAGGCATTGGAATATGCTTGTTACCCTCAGAGGTCCCAGTGGTCTTCGACACCATGAAATTCTTTGACTCGAACTCATTAGATGAGAGTCCGCCAATCAAAAACATAAACAAGAAAGCCCTTTCTTGATGCATTTGTGTTGTGCAGATATGTGATCGTGGCTGACAGAAATAAAACGCAGATAATCCTTGCCAATTCCTTGCCACTGGAAACAGAGGGGTTTTTGAAGCATTTCCAGTGAATCCATCAGCGCCCCCAGTGCCCATAGCATGGGAAGCCAGCCCTGAGTGAACTCATTCCCTATCACTTGGTCATTGGTTACAATACATAAATAAAAAGAAAGCTTCTGGAGTTTTGCTTGTAGTTTGGGGTGCTAAGATTCATTAGCGTATTTCATAAAAATGCATGTTTTCATCATATGTTTATTGCTCATCACAATGCTTATACACATCTCATTAATTACCAATTGCCTTTAGGCATTTACTTGAAGACAGTCAAGTACTATGTAATCAAGTAGAGCTAACAAAGTACTTTTGTGAGGAATCTGGAGAAAGGAAAAGTGTGAGATTAGCAATTAGTATTTGTCTTTGTCTTTTCTCGGTGGCTGGCTACTCATCTTATAATGTAGCGAGCATTACACAGCTGGGTGTCAGTGAGTCCTCTCTCTAGATTCAGTGTTTCCATCTTCCAAATGGACATTTTTCTACTGTCTTCCCTTTCTGCTACAATGTCAGCATTTAAAAGTGCTACAATGTCAGTGTTTAAAAGTGCAGTCCACAGACCACCTGCATCCAGTTTATCTGGAGAGCTTTCTTAAAAGTAAGGGTTCTTTTAAACAAATTAATAAGAAAAAAGAAACAAACAGTTCCATCAAAAAGTATGCTAAGGACATGAATAGACAATTCTCAAAAGAAGATATACAAATGGCCAAAAAACATATGAAAAAATGCTCAACATCACTGATGATCAGGGAGATGCAAATCAAAACCACAATGCGATACCAACTTCCACAAGAATGGCCATAATAAAAAAAAATAGAAAAATTATAGATGTTGGTGTGGATGCATTGAGAAGGGAACACTTCTGCACTGCTGGTGGGAATGTAAACTAGTACAACCCCTATGGGAAACAATGTGGAGATTCCTTAAATAACTAAAAGTAGAACTACCATTTGATCTAGCAATCCCACTATTGAGTATCTACCCACAGGGGGAAAAAAGTCATTATATGAAAAAGATACTTGCACACACCCGTTTATAGCAGCACAATTCGTGATTACAAAAATATGAAACCAGTTCAAATGCCCATCAATCAATGAGTGGATAAAGAAATTGTGGGGTGTGTGTGTGTGTGTGTATTCAGCCACTGGAATACTACTCAGCCATAAAAAGGAATGAATAAATGGCATTCCTAGCAACTGGATTGAATTGGAGACTATTATTCTAAGTGAAGTAACCAGATTGAATTGAAGACTATTATTCTAAGTGACGTAACTCAGGAATGGAAAACCAAACATTGTATGTTCTCACTCGTAAGTGGGAGCTAAGCTATGAGGATGCAAAGGTACAAGGGACTTTGGGGACTTGGGAGAAAGGGTGAGTGGGGGAGTGGATGAGGGATAGAAAACAACAAATTGAGTTCAGTGTGTACTGTTCAGAATATAGGTGCACCAAAATTCCACAGATCACAACTAAAGAACTTACTCACGTAACTAAATGCCACCTGTTCCCCAAAAACCTGTGGAAATAAAAAATTAAAAAAAAAATAAGTAGGGGTTCCTGGCTCCAGAACCAAATTTGTGCAAGTGAAGCCAGAGTGAGCTGACTGTATGAACCAGTTTACACCCTTTAACTGAGCTACATTCATTTTCTAGAGTCTTCTGGTTTTGATAACAAACTGAGCACTCTAAGCTTGAGTGCTCATAGAGTTTGATAGAACACAAAACACACTAAGATGTTATTTATGAAAATCATATTCTTATGCATATCTCTTGTCTCAGATAAAAGGATTCTACAGAAGGTAAAAATATAAAATATTCCTTCTTAAGTATTAATTACGAGAAAACTTCTTTGGCTTCAAATGAGTCAGGAAATTTGGCAAACCACATCAAAGAAGAGAAATTCTAGGGAGGCAGATGGGACTACACACAAACCAAGAGCACTTATAGAACTGGCCCCCAAGGAGAGGTCACCACAGAGGGGCCTCCTCGCATGTCCACAGGCTGAGAAACTTCACAAGCAAAAGTTACCGATGGGCAGTCTCTGAGCCACCGCCACCCACAGGTGTGTTCTGTTTTGTGCACACAGTAATGTATACGTTTTGTGTGATTTATAGACTTTTTCTTGTTGAGGCAGACTCTTGTGCTGTAACCTAGGCTGGAGTGCAGTGGCACGATCTCAGCTCACTGCAACCTCCACCTCTTAGGTTCAAGCAGTTCTCCTGCTTCAGCCCCCAGAGTAGCTGGGATTATAGGCCTGCACGACCACACCCAGCTAATTTTTGTGTTTTTAGTAGAGACAGGGTTTCACCATGTTGGCCAGGCTGGTCTGGAACTCCTGACTTCAAGTGATCTGCCCACCCCAGCCTCCGAAAGTGCTGGGATTACAGATGTGAGCCACGGTGCCTGGTCATTTATAGACTTTCAAAAATCAGGTTTCATATTAAAATTTTGATTTCTGACTTTTCTTGAAAAATCAGAAGGGATGGCAAAAATGGGTTTTGTTTCCACATAACCAGGAGTTGGCTTGCTGAATAGTGGCCACCCTCTTGGAATGGAACTGGGGTTTCTATTTCACCTGTCCCAGCCAGCCTGTTTCATGCATTCCCATTGCCTGCCTAACCCTATGGCCTCTGGCGTTGTTGTCCCTGATCTGTGACCTGCTAGTTCTCAACCTTGCCTGCATATTGGATTTATCTTTGGAACTTTAGAAAAAAAATAAAAAAAGACAAGACAAGACTGGACTTACCACAGAAGATTGCTGCAGAATCTCATGCCTGAAAGCCCAGGCAGCTGTATCTTTTAAGCTCCAGGTGATTCTGTGCCAAGAGAGGGTAGAGAACTCCTAGTTCACCCCAGCCCTGATGACCTTTCCAGAAGCTGCCTCAAGAAAAGATCCTGGCACAGGCATATTCTCAGAGGGCTCATGTGCAACTGCCTTGTTGAAGAATCACCTAGTAAACTTGACCTTGAGGTGCTACCCTCACAATATCTAAGGAGGCTTGGGAGGGAGCCAGAGTTTACATTTTTTCAAACCCCCAAGGAAATTTTGATATAGGTGAAGGCCAAGGGTTGTAGAAAGACATAACTGCCACCAGAGCCCACACTCTGACTGTGGCTCTGGGCTAGTTGCTCAGAGCTTTCTTCCTTCCTTTAACAGGTTGGAGCTAAAGGTAAGCCCAGGAGAATCAGCCATCTCATATCACAAACAAGAGGCGGCAAGGTAATTATGAGTTAGTGTTACCCAAGAAAGTTGACTAGGCGTTTGTTTCTGGAAACCCATGTGGCATTTAAAAAAAATTCTGCTCATGGTCTCCATCCTGTTCTTTCAGCCTGATGAACCCCTGGTCTCTGTGTGATGAGCAATTGATGTCTCTGACATTTAAGGGCAAGGAACAGTTCTTCATCAGAGTTAATTCTCTCCTTCTCTGCTTATTCAATGCCATTTGGACATTCAGAAGAGCCACTCCTACTATGATAAAATGGTGCAAACAGAAACTTATCAGTGGAAAAGGCCACTCAGGTTTTCTTTGACTCTGATTTAATTTTCTCCATCTGGCTTAAAGCCCTAATAACAATCTTCATTGTAGATTTCCTTTCAAAATCTTTAAAAATGGACCAGAGAATGATGGGATTCTGAGATCAAAGGGCCAACAGGGAGAGGCTCAGACAAGAAGCCAAAGAAAACTCAGAAGGAAAAGTAAATGATTTTTAATTTCTCTTCTGTGAGTCTACTGACCTGTTAGTATACAGCTTTGGGTCATTTCTTCAAGTCATAAGACTCACCCATCCTCATTCCCGGGAATGTGGGGAAAGAGGCTTCATGGTGTCACTTGGAAATAGGGGAAAGGTCTTATTTTTGGAAGCTCAGCCTAAATCCCTCTTCTAAGAAGTCTTCTCTGATTAACCCAAGTCATGGAGGGTGCCTCCTTTCTCTCCAGTCATTTTTCTCACAAAGCACTCGTGCTAATTGCAATAATGATACTAATAATGTCCACCCTTTATCTGGCTTCCATCCACTAAGTGTGAGGCATTGTGGGAGGCATTTTACATAAATCATATTAATTTCTTCTCTCAGCCACCCACCTTTTCCTTCTCATGGTGCTCTGGCCACACTGGCTTCTTGCTGCTCCTTGAGCACATCCAGCATTTCTGTCTTAGGGCCTTTGCACTTGCTGTGCCCTCTGCTTGAAATGCTGTTCCCCGGGTGGCTGCACATCTCTCTCCCTTGCTTTATTCAGCTCTCTGCCTCAAATGCCACCTCTTAGGAAATGCTTTGCATGGGTCAATCTGTAAGGCAGCACATTCTGTCATTATCTCCTTACTCTGCTTTATCTGCCCTCGGAAAGCATTTGAATCCCTGCCACGTTACAACGCGTTGTTTTGTTGACATGTATAAATAAAATGTCACGTAATGGCCCAGGGATGAGATCCTGGAGCTAAACTGCCTAGACTGACTCCCATCCCTGACTCTTATTACTCGTGCTACCCTGGGTAAGTTACTCAAACTCTCTTTACCTTAGTTATCCCATCTTTAAATAGAGTTTGCTAATTGTTACTGCTTATGCAGCAGGGTTGTTATGAGGGTTAGAGTTAATATACGTAAAACACTTATCTCTAGCAGTTATGCGTAAAAGGCACTTTTCTAAGGTCAAGAATCTTGTCTCTTTGTTCAGTGGTATATTCCACTGACCCCTTGCCTTCAATACCTGGAGTAGTAATTTCCCTCAATGCCTGTAGCTGTTTAACAAATATTTGTTAAATGAATCTATGACCAACACCCTGTGGTCGATTGTGTTTTCCATCCTGTGATTACAGCAGTGATTTCTAGAGATCAACTTATGTGAAGAAAATAGAAACGTAAACAAACAAATTATTTTTGAGTTATTGCCCATACATAGGGTAAGTTTTCAAATGGTTGGTCTACTTTAAATAGGAAATGCTGCTGTCTTTTAGAATGTCTCCCACATTATACTGTGGGAGATTTCTACTTCCAACTAATGTGTAATAGCAGAGGCTGCATTTGACTTCCCTTAAAAAACAGCTAAACACACACACACACACACACACACACACACACACACGCAAATGAAATACATGAAACACTGGTTTTGAAGACTCTGGATGCCAGGCA